GCAAACGGAGTATCCACTTTTATAAGTATTATTAACTAGTAGTAATTTAAAAAAAATATATAATAATTCTATTGTAAAGGTTTTTACCATTACTCCCTTAAAGCTAGTTTTCTTACAGATATTTTCTGTTCTATTAAGAAGCTTAAATACAGGGTGAAACAGGAATTACCAGCCAATAATAGATAAACAATAAGTATTCCAGTTCGAACCTCATTGTATTTAGAAGTTGGTTATAAATACAACATTTCCATGTCTATTGGAACACTGCATTAAAAAATAAGTAAACAAAAAAATAACTTTTGAAAAAAGGAAGTAAATGTAGGGATGGTTAATATCAATCCTTCAAAAACAATGCAAACAAGATAGTAATGATGGCATTTGCATCATCCCTACATAACACCACAGGCAAGAATTAATATATAGCAATATATACAACTATTCAATCACAGTTGAGTTGAATTTATCCTATTTTTTTCTGTTAACATTCTACTACATTGTGTGTCTGTCCTATACGTAGAGATGACACAAATGCCATCCCTACTATCTTGTTTGCATTGTTTATGAAGGATTGATATTCGCCATCCCTACATTTACTTTATAATCAGTGTTCCAATGGAATATCGATCAGAACCTCAGTGCACATTTTTGTTGGAGACATGCGGCATATCCATACATTATTTAGAAGTTGTAGGTAATGGCATACTCAATTTGACACCCATTAACACTAGTAATTTATTATCATTATCACATCTTACACTTAGGGGTTGAATGTTTTATTGTGAGCTTAATAAGTTGGTTTAAGGCTAATCTAAATCTTCTAAGTTGTGGGATTATTGGAATTATGGCCGAAAATGTTAATAGCGAGGGTAAATAACTAATGATTCTGTGTAGTCTGAAACGTAGCGTCATTATTTACATGTACGTTTTCAATACGTATCTCATTATGTGTAAGAATATTTACATGTTGCTCTTCAATATGTATCTCATTATTTGTAAGGGTATTTACATGTTACTTTTCAATATATATCTCATTATTTGTAAGGGTATTTACACGTAAATTTTCAATATATATCTCATTATGTGTAAGAGTATTTACGTGTAAATTTTCAATATGTATCTCATTATGTTTAAGGGTATTTACATGTACCTAATAAGTTTTATGCATATATAGTAAATATTTACAGCAGTTGAAACCTTACCACATTGAGTAAAGTGTGACAAGGTGTTAATTTAAAATGTAAGTTTACAAGAATATAATAAACAAGATTTTTGCTAATTT